ACCCGCTTTTGCTACCATCATCGTTATCATCATCATCATCATCAGAAGCCAAGGCTTCAGCTTCCGCTTCAAGCTCTTTTGCCTTTCTTACCTCTTCGGTAAGATCGAAACCTCGAGCATGAATCTCCTCGAGGGTCTCCCTCCGAGATCTACACTTAACAAGTTCGGCAACCCAATGAGCTCGAGCATCGGCAATCTTCGCCGCTTCCCGGGCCTCCACCTGAGCGGCCTCAGCATCAGCTCGATATACAGTAATAGACTTATCCGCCAAAAGTTTCGACGACTCAACCTCCACCTTAGCCTCAACAAGTCGTATCTCAAGCTCATCGATTTTCTTAGCCTGAACCGACACCTTTTACTTGACGTTTCGAAGCTGAACGTCGGCTGATAATAACTTTGTTAAGATGGTTTCTTCCTCCGCTGCCAGGCGGTCAATAGTCTCCTTCCACTGGTTGCATTCGGTCCGGATTTGATTGACCTGCTCCCGAAGTAGCCCGATCTTCTCGATCTTTTGCTGCAACTGAGACAACGGAGGGTTAACTTCCACAGTCGAGTCGAATCCATACTTTAACAGAACGAGGCTCACCTGCTGATCGAGCTCGACCCTTTCTTCACGAACCTTAGCCAAATCCACTTGAAGATCCTTTATAGCCTCCTCCTTTTTGCTACAAAGAAGCCGAAGGTCATCTCTTTCACCTAGGACCTTCCGGAGTTCGGGCTCACACTGTCTAAGATCAACTCGGAACCTACCGATGGCCTGCATAGTTATAAACTGTCATCAACACCAATAAAGCAAAAAGGGATCACCGATATCGGAACCGCCAAGTATGGAAAAGAACAAAGAAACCAAGTATGGAAGAATCATTACCCGAGTAATAAAACGCTGAGCTTCCTCTAACAAAAGAGAAGCATCACCGATATCGGAACTGTCATCAACACCAGTAAAACAATCCTTAAAAGGATCCGTTGCACCTAAGCCAGCACCAATGTCGGGAGTCTTCAGTTCTCGAGCCTCTTTCAACGCCTCCTCAGAAAAAGATGGAAGGGAAGGTGAATGACCCATTGCCATTGCCCCGAGCAAATCACTCGGAGTACTCCGATCGAGACTTAGGTCTTCGGAACCAACCTCGATGGGCACGACCGCCATCGGCTCAGCAACTCTAGCAACCTCGACTGCCTCTGTAGGTCAGACTATCAAAGCCGAGGAGCTATCTTCTTCTTCTTCTTCTTCTTCTTCTTCTTCCTCCCTCAGTCGATGGACCGAGTCGATCGAAAGCGCAATGATTTTTCTCCTCACCTTTCGAGTTTTGGGCTTAGGGTCCTCCGGCCGAGAGGAAGCCCTTCGTTTCTTTTATTTCCCATGTTCCAGGACCGGGGGCTTATTTCCTTCATCACTGCTCAAAGGCCGCAAAACGGCATCCCTAGTTACACCTATATACAAGGGAAAAATCGATAATGAAATGAACGCAGAATATACCTCGAGGGAAACAGGAACCAAACCTCACCATGATTCTTGGCCTCCCATCTACCTTTAGCGAAATCACGTCAAGCGCGTTCGACATAGGATGAAGTCGAGGCTAACTTTCGAACCCAATCCTCGAGATCAGGCACAGCTTGTGGCATCCAAGGTGCAGCTGGACATCAGAAAATAATATTAACAAATACGGAAAAAGACACGAAAAGCAAACATGGATCACTTACGGTCGAAGTTTCATTTTTTCAGGAAACGACATCTTTTCCTCCGGGATAAGATCATGAGTCCTCACTCGAATATATTGACCCATCCAGCCTCGATCCTTATCTTCATCGATGCTCGACATCAAAGCCTTCGATGCCCGACGATATAGCCTAATAAGTCCACGATAAATCTGAGGCCGATACAGTCGTATAAGGTGGCTCAGAGAAAAATCCAACCCTCCGGCTTTGATAGAGAAGAAACGTAATAAGATGACTATACGCCATAAGGAAGGATGAATTTGGCCGAGGGTAACCTGATATCTCTTGCAGAAATCAAAAATCACGGGATCGACAGCTCCCAACGTAAAGGGATAGGTGTAAATACTTAAAAATCCCTCCACATAGGTAGTGACGCTCTCATCGGGGGATGGGATTTGTAACACAACCTCAGAACCCCAGCCGCAGTCTTTTCTGACGGCCTCGAGGTGAACCTCCGCTATAGAGCATGTATACATCGATACGTGCTCACACCGACCCGAACTAACGAAGGGTTCTCTACCTTAAAATCAGTTTTTAAAATATACGGGCCGGGAATATAATCTTGAACGGACGGCTCAGGCGGCGCCTTATCATCACACAGCTGCGAGGAAGAAGCTTTCTCCTTGTGAGGTACGGTTTTTAAAGTTTTCGCCATTAATATGAGAAGAAAAAATTGGAAAGAAAGGTGAAAGAGGGGACAACACCGTAACTCCGGTATAAGCGGCACTAAAGCAACGAAATAAGAGAAACTAATCAGAGGGAATTTGGGAAAAGAGGAAGCACAAAAGTGGAAAACATCATATGTGAAAACTATTTATAAGGCATGGCAATTCGTTTCTAGCGGTGGCCGACCACCGACTGACACACATTAAATGTCTCGATAAAACCAAATCGATGGGACAGCTATCACGCACGTCATAGTCAAAGCCGATAGAAACGTCATTATCGATTCGGTCGAACCTTAGGGAAATCACATCGTTTCTCGTCATCTCCTTTCCAAGAAACAAGGGGGCTATCTGTATACGGTTAAAACCGATGCTCGGTCATGAAGATCGATCGAGGATGGCATTTCAATCAAGGGGTATCTTCATGGAGACCCCGAACGAATTCCGAGATGGGGGCGTCGAGCTCGGGCGTTCGAGTCGGCCGAGGTAACATCGACCGATACAGGTCCCGGACATCGATGCCCAAAAGTGATCACCTAGCTCGAAATCAAGGCCGAGGTTCCGATCCGATACCGAGCTCGAGTTGGTATCGAGTTCACAGACAAAAAGCTGTTACAACCGCACCAAAGGAGAGAATCTATGCGGGAATTAAGGAGGAGACACACCATCATGGGACCTCCACTAGTAATATTTATTCCATCATGTTGCTATAGCTAAAGTAGTGATCCTTGATTATAAAAGGAAAGATAGTTTGTAATAGAAGGCACTTTTTTGGCTGGGATTAAGAATTCATTGTGTTTATCCTTCTAAAGATCACTAAATATCTTTGTTCATCATCTTCTATTTTTGCACCATAAATACGTGTATTGTTATTTTCAGATCAAAGGAATCTACTTGCCCTTAGAACCATACATAAATTCAACGTTATCCGATTCTTCGGGTAAATAATGTGAATTTCTTAATTATATGTGACCATTATGTTATTTTAATCCCATTTTTTTAGTTGCTTCTATACCTTTAGAATATTTGATATTTCTTATTCATATTGTCACCTTGCTTTTTGATGCTACTCTTCTTTATGGTTGGTTGAATAAAAATCACCATTCTCTCACTGTTGAAGATATAAATATGAACAAAACCTTTTAAGAGCTCTTTTTTTTAATCTTGCGGTCTACCTTGAGTTATATAACACTTAAATTAATATTTTATTGTAAATTTTTTCCTTAAAAATACCTATGAATAAGGTCAATAATTTGTCTCGGTATTAACATATCCTTTCTATATATAGATATTTATCAAAAAAGACATGGCATAAATGAAGAATATTTTAAATCATGTGCCATGTGTTTCATTATAAAGCACATGCGTTCCTTTTCTCATTAAAAGCCAATTGTAGGGAAAAAACAAAGATGTCAATTGCCACTAACAGTCAAACCTAATACTTGTAACAACTTCTTATTATTTATCTACTCTCCATTTAATTTTTTTTTTTAAAAATCCCAAACCAAATTCAACTTAAAAATGTAAAACAAATAATATTACAAGTGCCATAAAATATCTTCTCAATATCCAAAAAATCAATAGATATATATTTTGTTTTTATAAAGAATATAAAATTGGACTCTCTCAATAGTGCTCGTCCACCATTCAAATAGGCAGCAACAAGAATCTTTAGTACCAGCCATTGACTATAAGATCCACGGTCCATAACCATTCACACCAAAACAAGAAACAAATATCGACCGTTAGATCAAAATTAAGGGTTTTAGTCACAGTACCTTTACACTCCACGCCTCCTATTATACTCGCGCAGCTCTCTATTCGTTCTTTCTCTTTCGTTTTCCCAAAACCTTTACCACAGGAAAACCGCTCGTTTATTCCATAGCGGTTGTGTGGTTCAAAACCATATCCCTTACTGTATCGGTGGTTTTGCTTTTTTTTTTGTAAAAGGTGAGTCTTTGATTTTTCTTTTTGAGTTTTTTTTTGGTTGCTGTAAGTGAGTAACAAAGATCTAAACCCTTTATTTCTTTTGAAAGATTATTTATGGGGTTCTTTTCTGTTTCATATGATTTAAATGGAAAAAAGTTTTTTTCCCGTGTTTTTTATTTACATACACAAACTCATGTCAGAGCAAGAAAGATCTGAGATTTTATTTTCTGTGGTTTAGCATGATTTACTGTTAAAGGGGTCGTTTTGGGATTTTTATTTTTATTTTTTGTATTTATTTCCTCTAGAATTAAGCATGTTTTTCCATTTTTATTGAGATTAAAGTTCCTTTCGTTTTTCTGTATTGGGTGAAAAACTATATGGTAGCTTTATTTTTTTGTGGACAAATGGATGACATGCTCTGAAATAGACATGCATTATACAAAGCTGTTGTATTGTTATCCATTTTTTTGGGGGACTATGTGATTCATTTTCAGACCTAAGTCTAGGTATTTTATAGCTTGCTACTTTTTTTTCCTGGAAATTTCCAATTATTTGGTACCAGTGGAATAGTCGAGGTGTCATAAAAAAATTTCCCATTATTTGTGGTGTGATATTGAAAATCCGTATGTTCCTGTTAGTTAGCTGATATTCTTGCGTTGTTATAAAGCACAAGCACTAGTATAGGATTGAGGGACTATATTTTCTCTTTCTCCTTGTTTTATGGGTAATCATTGGATTCAAATGTATTAGTCCACCCTGTTTCTTTGTTGGTCAATTTAAGGATAGCGTGAGGGAAACCTTACATTTGATGGGCTATCTTTCATTTCCTTGCTTTTAGGCATGAAAATACCTTGTTTTTTGTTTTTTTAATCCTATTCTGTTATCTACAAGTTCATGGCCCGGAATGAATTTCATTGTCTTTCATTGTATACATGTGATTGTAAGGCATGTGTTTAATTCAAAGTTCTTGGAAGATATTCTTGTCTGCATGGATTAGAAAGTTTTTCTTAAAAGATTTTGAAGCTCTCAATTATGTCTTATTGAACTGTTTTTCTTAACCTTTTATTTGTTCTCCAAGAGTATATTTTCCTTTTACCTTATGCATTACGTCAACTGGTCGCAGGTCAGGAATTGGATTTTGAAGCTCAACAATGGCAGGAGAGAAGATTATAGAAAAACGTATCCCGCTAATATTTGGCTCTGCAATGTTCTTGGATTTTGTAGTACATTTCCTAGCTGCTTCATAAATGTGTATAATTTTCCAATCTACTATTTGGTCAGTGTTGGAAATATTTGAAGACTGAATTGTTCCAAAATATGATTTGATGCTTTTTTGCTGGCTAGAGGATTTTTGAATGTTATGAGGTGACTGGGAATATATGAATCTCAAAATCTCGAGGAAGAGTTCAACATAAGTTTCCATATGGGAATGTATGAACTCTGAACTCTTGAAATTATGTTTTCAGGAAACAGCTTTGATCTCTATTTTTTTTTTGGTCAAGCTCCTATGGTGGATAAAGTTGCAAACTGAAAGCAAAGGGGCATGCTAAATTTTGGTGTTATAATTGCAAACATAAATTGTCCTAGTCGTAGGTGCATGTGCTGACATCAGACATGTGATGATTACTGTCTTTAAGACAATAATGCTTACAATTCACTCCAATGTCCCTACTTAAAATTCCAGATTTTCTGTTTGAAGTTACATGCTCTATTGTCAAGACTTGAAGTCGAACTTACTAAACGATTGTCTATATTGTTATTGCTTAACTATTTTTAAGCTGAAGCAGTTGCTCCAGGATCGAAATCTGATTCGTCTATTAAGCTGACTGAGAAGGATCTGGTATGCTGCAACTCTATCACTCTCTCTTTTTGACACGCCTTTATGTGTGGTTCTGAGATTGTTGTATGTAAAAACATTTTTTGCAAAGCAGCAAGTAGGTTAGCTGAGTTGGATATGTTTTGCTAGGACTTGTTTCTGTGATTGGCATTCTCACATTTTTTTCTTGATTCCACGTNCTTTTCTCTTGAATCCCACATGTTTTTAGTTGTGAGTGGGCATTTGTTTGGTTCTCCTAAATGACCATGCGTATAGTCTAGTTTTCTATGCTTCTGAATGTTTGTGCCATCCTTCTTTCTTTCTAATTTTCGGTAAACGACAAACATGTACAGATTTCAAAAAAAGATGGAAAAGTTTCTGACTCGCTGTCTTCTTTGGGAGCTGTGATTCCAAAGATCCTATTTTCTTGATTCCACGTTTGAATATCTTTTCTGCCCAAATG